AGATAGTACAAGTATATTCAATCCCAAAAGATGAAAACTGAGAATATAGTTTAAATAATATCAGACCAATAGCACTAATCAAGACTTTTAGAAAAATAGTTACAAAAGTAGTAACAAAATGATTGGCCTAAATATTTACAGAAAAAGAAATACTTAAAGAGCCTAATTATGAAAGTTTGCCAGGCACTTAACAGAACAATCAATACATATATTAAACATAATAATAAAAGAAACACAAAAAAAGAACAAAGAAGTATGGATACTTCTACAAGATATGAAGAAGGCTTTTAATTCAGTTCTACTAGAAAGCCTAGAATAGGCTCTTAAAAGAGTTAAAATATTACAGAAAACAAGAGAATACATATCCAACCTTTTTTGTAAATGACAACTTAAAGTTATTACAGCTTACAGCTTAATAGAAAAAATAATGGCAGAAGATGGAATAGACCAAAAGTAATCTTATCTTTAATCTGGTATCTTTTTTATAACCTATTGTTGGAAAGAATTCAAGAAGACAAAACATTAGACTATACAGTTGAACAGAAAATAGCAGAAAGAATACATAACAACAATATAACAAAATATAGACAGACAGCAATAGCATATGCAGATGATACAACATGGATTGCCAGCAACAAAGAGCAGTTATTAAAAATTCCCAAAATTGCAAAAGAGTTCTTTATAGCCAATGATATCAAAATAAATAGGTCCAAATCAAAACTAATAGTAATAAACACTAAATACAAAACAGAAAAAAGAGAAATCATATTTGGTTAAAATAAAATAATAGAAGAACCAAAGAACAAAATTGTAAGATTACTAGAAATCTGGCTAAACAGTAGAATAAAAAAGTCATTAATTGACAAGAAAGCAAAAAGAATAGTTAGTCAAACAGTCAAAGACTTAAGATACAAGAAAATAACAATAAGCCAGATTGCATATATAAACAATACAATAATAATTTCAAAATTAGGCTATCTCTTACAATTAACAAAAATGTTAGAAAAAATGATCAATAAAATACATTAACTACTAATATGCTTAGCAAAACACAAATGCAACATGATGAAAATAGCAAACAATTTCATAGTAGAGCATAAAGATTTAGACAATTGCAAATTACTATGTCAAAGAATAATAATAAAGCAAATAAGTAACCTCTTTTTGCGACTCAATAAAAAGGACAGCTTAGATGAGCTAACTAGACTTAGAATACCACAAGGATGCCAAAATGCAAGGCTAACAGATGATATTTGAAATTACAAAAAAAAACTAGAAGAAAAGAAATTTTGAAAAAACAATTTAGCCTGTTGTATAATAGCTAAAGCAAAAGAGATAGGTATAACTTATCAAAAACTGAAGATATTTTATAAAAAGTATATGAATGTAGAAAACAAATAAGAGATATAATAGAAACTAAAACTTGGGCAACAAGCAATAGTATAATAAACAAATAGGAACTGTTATATATAAATTAGCTTATAGATTCAAAAGGTGAAAGTCTAATTACATGAAGGCAACTCAAGTGCCACCTAGAACTGTCATGTAAAGGAAAAAAAACTAGATGGTTTGGTAAAATAAAAAAAAAATTGTTAGTAATGCAAACAAACAAAAAAATCTATAACAACTACAAAACAAATTGATACAATACTTAAGTGTTAAAGATTAAATAAACAAAGCTGTCAGAAGATCAAAGAAAAAGAGAATGAATTATATATAGGTCAAAGCATAACCAATGGCTTAGCAGAATAGTTAAAAAGAAGAGAAAAAAGATACTAGCAGAGCACTGGTTAATGAAGAAAGAAGAAAGAAAAATGATCACAAAATAAGTAAATGCATAAGTTGTAAAAACAAATTAGAACAGACATCAGTTAATTGTAAAAAATAGATAAGACATAATCATAATATAAAGATAATTTCAGAAACAATAATCAAGAAGAGCAATAACAAGATCAATGCAATACTTGAACAGATAACAGACAATAAAACAATAGAAGATTGAAAAAAAGATAAAAGAAACCTAATAAAACTAAAACAAATAAAAGAACTAAAATAGAGTTAATTAAAAAGTAAGGACTAAAAAATAAAATTGCAAATCACTTAATAGAAATCCTAGTGAGAAATAAAAGAAGAAACAAAAACAAATATACTTTCTATACAGATAATACATTGTATAAAGAGAAAGCAGAAAATAGTATAAGGAAGATAGGTATCAGTTGGGTGCAACTAGGAGATAGAAAAGACTGGCCAGATGAGGAAGTGGCATTAGGACTTAAAGGATGGCCTTCAGCAACAATAGCAGAATTTGCAGCAATATGGTCAGCAATTCTAATAGTACCAAAGAAGAAAAATATAAAAGTATATACAGATAGTATCACAGTATTAAGAAATATTAGTAAAGCAATTCAATATGTAAAAGATGAAAGAATTCTCAAGAAGAAAAATGCAATGAGAATAATGAACATTACAGATTTAATTAAAAGCAAAAACATTAAAATAGAAATAGTTAAGGTCAAAAGTCATAGTGAAGACAAGTAGAATGATAGAGCAGATTTACTTGCAAAGAAAGGAGCAAACAGCAAAAAAAAATTAATATGAGAGAAATCAAATGCAACAGAATAGAGTACCATATAAAATGAGAAAACAAAAGAATTGATATACCAATACAGCTTCTTTGTAAGATAATTGTGAATGCTAAAATTGGAGCTAGTTGGCAAGAAACAAATTCAATTAGACTACTAGAGCCAGAAACCAAACAGATACTACACAACTGATCAAGCTTTTGAAAAGAAATAATCAGAACAAGTGAAGTACATTGTACATTAAAAAAACTTAGTACAAGAAGAGCTACAGCAATCAAGTGTATAATAGACAATTTACCAATATTAGAAGAACTAAACAGAAGAAAACCAAAAGTATATATAATAGCAAACTGCCAAGTTTGTTAAGATGATAAAATAGAAACCCAAGCATATATGATGAGCTGCAACAAACAAAGAAGTCTATAAAAACAGATCCAAAAAGTTTTAGCAGCAACAGTATAGAATGGTCTCAAAGAAAAAGAAAAAAATAGAATCTTATCACAAGTGCTATATAAGACACTTTTTGAGAGAGAAAGAAAGAAGAAATTAAGAACAGAAAAGCACTAATAAAAGGACTCACAGTACTAAAGGTTAAAAAAAAACTTGAATAGCTGTTAAACAAAAATGCAACACAGAAATGTATAGATATAGTAACTAGAACAGCATAAAACACTTTTTATGACCAAGTATGAAGAGTTTGATGTAAAAGAATACAAAAATTAAAAAAGAGCTTTAATATAACAAATAAAATGAAAAAGAATAATAAAGAAAAAAGGAAATGAAAAAGAAAGAAGATAGAAAGTAAAATATTGAAATAAAATGAAAAAAAAAAAAAAACAGAAAAAGTAAAACAAATGAAGAATGAAGCATTAAAAACAATTAATATGCTTGTCACAAAAGAGAAAAGACCTTTCTAATATAGCTTTAAGTAGTTAGATGAGCAGTCTATCTCTAACTAAGATAGTGCAGCAGGTTGCACTTAGGTACTATTAGAGTGGTTGAGTGATGCTAAACTTAGGTATTGAAAAATTCTATATAATTATGTATAAGATAATAGAGGTATTATGATGCAGAACCAATTATGATGCATCTAATATATCTTATGAGCCACTGATTAGAATTGAACAGCTTAGTACCAATCGAATTGTCTCATTAAGATGGGTCAAATGGTACCAAAATCATGTGATTCTAATTATTGAATCATGAGATATTACGATTTAAACACTATATAGTAAATTTTTTTATTTGAGTTCTAGTAAAGCATAAGAATAATATATATAAAACAACATAAATTATGTAAAATGGGCTTGAACTTATTAATAAAAGTTTAATCAAAGTTTGTGATACAATTTTCATACATATTTCTAAATTTTATTATATAGATTAAAGTAATCAAATTTTCATTTATTATGACTATATAATGCAACAAGAGTACAACAATTAAAGATTTGATCCTCAATTTATTGCATAAGTCTTATAAATCAAAATACATAATTAATAGCAAATGTGTTATGTAATAGTAATTTTAACTAATAAAATGTAAAATATTAATGTTTTTAAACAAAAATACCTGTTAAATACACTACTGGCATTTAAGAATTCTCTAGATTAAAAAAAAAAAAGAATTCATGCACTTAATACTAGCCTCTTTTTATTATAATATTATTCAAAAATAATATAGAAACCTTATTAAATACATTCTCTAAATGCACTTTCAAACTTTGGCTCAAATATAAGCTTATATTTAAACCTTATAAATACAAATTTTTTTTTTTTGTTCTCTAAGTGCTCTTTTTAAATACTTAAATTTTTGGCCAAAATATAAGCTTATACTAATTTTCTAAATATATTTTTTCTTATAATTCTTAAAATACACATAGTTGATTAAAAGTTTAACTTATTGGAAATAGATTTAGAGAGGTTTCCTATACTCTTCATAAAATCAAATGTTATGATTGATGCTAAAAATTGGTTAACATCAAATCTGAAATAAAAGTTTAAATTTTTTTATTTTTTTATTTTTTTAGAGTTGGGTTAGGGTCTAAGATTAGAATTAATAATTAAAAAGTGTATATAGATTTTAGTAGAGTTTATATTTTTAAATTAAGACCTTAAATTTTAGCATCAACTGTGATATCAAATAATTTAATGACAAATCTGAATTAAAGATTTCAAGTCTTCCTTAGAAGTGCTTATAAAGATTCATTAGTAGATTTGTGTATTAGTAATAATAATAATAACATAGTCATATATTAAGATAATAATAAAATTTAGTAATGCATTTGTAAGTAATAAATAAAAGCATACATTATAAATAGACATACTTACTTTTATTTGTCTTTTAATAAATTCAATTTGCCTTAAACCTTCACTTAAATAAATCAAATCAAAAAAAAAAATCAGTATGCCTTCTTATAGTGATCAGAAGAAAATCATTAAAAGAGCTCTTAAAGAACTTGTGAATTATCCAACAATCTCTAATAGAACAATTGCAAAAAGATTTGGCATTTCTGAGGCAACCTTAAGACATGTTATAAAAAATAAAGATTCTTTAAATTGTCCGGGACCTGCTAAAGTTTTAACTGACTATAAAGAATAACAACTAATTAATTATTTTCTAAACATGCAAAAACTTGGCTTTGGGTTAACAAGATTGAGTATAAATCATTGTGTTATAGAAATCATTAACAAAAATAAAAGACAACATCTCTTTAATGAGAATAGGTTAGGCAAGTCATGATAAGAGCATTTTATAAGGAATTATTCTGAGCTTTCATTTCATGTTTCTCAGACTTTGAATAAGACATAAGCACAAAGAGCCAACCCTATTATAGTGCAAGATCATTTTAATAAGCTTCAGAAAATTATTAAAGAACATTTACTTATTCTCAATAGAATCTGAAATATGAACGAAATGAGCCTTCATTATTAATCCCAAACTTTATAAAGTTATTGCGAAAAAAGATGCATGGCAGGTAAGAATAAAAATTTATTTTTTTATTTTTTTAACATATAAGCAGTCACACTAGTACTTTATTAAGTTTTTGAAATTACATTTGTAACTATATAAATATCTCTAATATCTAAGTCTAGCATCATCTAGCCACCTTACTGATACCTAAGTGCAACTTGCTGCATTACTTTGAGCAGAAGTAAGCTGCTTGTCTGACTACTTAAAGTCCATAATAGAAGGTTTTTCTCCCTTTCATAACAAGCCCCAACATTGTCTTCATTACTTTTTTCTCAACTTGCTTTCCTTTTTCTCTTATTTCTTCTTTTTTCCCTTTTATTCTTTCTTGATTTGTCTTTTCTCGTTTTTTTGGTTCCTTTAGCTTTTTATCTTTTTTCTTTTAATTTTATTTGTTATTCCAATCTTTTTCTCCTATTTGATAATTTTTTTGCAATGTATTCTCTATACTTGTTTATAAAATATATTACAGGCTGTTATTGCTACTGCATTTACAAATTGCTGTCTTGATTTTGAATTTAAGAGCTGTGCCAGTTTATCTTGTATTTCTTTTAGAATTAGGCCTTTTATTAGTGCTTCTCTCATTTTAACTTCGTTTGTTTCTGTTTTTTCAAAGAGTGTCATATATAATACATGTAGAAGAATTCAGATCTTTTCTTCTTCTTTTAATTTTTTCCACGCTGTTGCAATGGTTACCTTTTGATTCTCTTTCAGAGATTTTTTTGCCCTTTGCATGCTGCCAAATGTTCTTGTGTTTTTTTTACTTTTTCTTGGCACACTTGGCATTCTACTATTGTGTATATATTAAGCCTTCTTCTGTTAAGTTCTTTCAAGGTTGAAAGCTTATCTATTATGCACTTAATAAAAGCACTTTTTCTCACACTACTTCTTCTTGTTGTGCAATGTATTCTCTTGGTTGTCTTTAGCTTTTTTCACAAATAAGTCTAATCGTAGATTGTGATTTCTGCTTCTGGCTCTAAACTTTTAATTACTCTTGTTTCTTTCTACTTTGCTTCTATTCTTGCATTCATTACTAACTTGCAAAGCAGTCTGGCTAGTATGTCAGTTCGTCTGTTTTCCCACTCTAGGCAGTACTCTATCTCTTTACAACTGACTTTTTCAGTTTGTATAATTTTTCTACTTATTGTTCTCTTCTTCACTAAACTATCAGCTCTATCATTCCACTTATCTTTACTATGACTTTTAACTTTAACTAGATTTATCTAAATGTTTTTTGTCTTGACCAGGTCTTTAATTTTTATTATCCATATTGCATTCTTTTTTTTAATAATCTTGTTTTTATCTGCTTGTTCTAAGCTTCTGTTAATATTTCTTATTGCAGCATTACTATCAGTATATATCTCAATCTGTTTCTTTTTTGGTATTGTTAAGATTGCTGCTCAAATTGCTACCAGCTCTGCTATCGTCAATGTTTGCCATTCTTCAAGTCCAAATATTAATTTTTCTTTTGACCATTTTTGTGTTTCATCTGTTTGGACTTATCCTATATCCATACTGTTGCTAGACATTAGCTCTTTATTGTTTTTTCCATTAGTTGCACTATCAGTATATATTATATATTTGCTCTTGTCTCTTATAATGTTTTTCTTTAGAACTTCTATTATTTCTTGACTAATATTTTCTTCTAATTTTTGTTATTTAATAACTTCTATCTCTAGTTTCTCTATCATTATAAGACCTTCTAGTTTGCATTCACTTATTTTTGACTTGTTTGTTTCTGTTCTGTTTGTTATTTGGTCTATTGCTATCTTGACTTAATTGGTACTTTTACTTACTAATCTATCTGGAATTATATGAATGTTTTTACTTAATCTTGTCCATTGCTGGCAACTGTTTCCTGTCTATTCTTCTTCTCTTACACATCCCTTACATCTTTTAATTTTTGTTGCTACTTCGTTTTCTTTGCCTTTCATTTGCCAGTGTTCGATTAATACTTTTTTCTTTTTCTTTTTGACCACCTTTCCCAGCTGTTTGTGATCTCATATACTATATATTATCCATTTTTTTCTTTTTTTATTTTCTAATATTTGCTCCTATTTAACTTGCATTGCCTGAGTATTTTGTTCATCAGTTTTAAAGCATCTTTGCACTACTCTGCTT